CAACGAGCCCTATCCTTTCGGGGTTTGGTTGTGATGAGCTCTCGCTACGGGCTTTGACGGCTCGTTGTCGACCTCCCCCTTTCGAGGTATGAGCCAGGGGCCGGAGAGTCGCAGGGTTGATGGCCGCGCATTTTAGTTTTAGCCATCATTTAGTTATATTTTCTCTTTGACTGCACGTACGACTTTTGTGTTAGACATGTGAGATTTTATTCTAGAAATTTTAAAGGCTGTGTGCCTTATTTTCCCTTTGTCCAGACATTTTGTATTTGGACTTGTGAGGACTCCCAGTTCATTTATTTCAGACATTATTCTTGCTATTACCAGTACTTAGTTATAAATGAAATATTAAATCTCTATTATTTTCAATCAGTTGTTCTTGTATAATCTTTTACTTGCTTTGTACTACACCTGTTGTTGATCCACTAGAGAGATAGAAATTGTATGGTGAAACATGTATATTGACCCGTGTGGTGCATGGCCAGGTATATTGACATTTCTGGTTTAACCTCGGACTGCAGCCTTGTGTGAACGGGTGATGGCACAAGCGCGTGTCATGCAGAGTTTGGATTATTAGGTAATACGACTTAATGCCCTTGTGTGTTATAAAGAAAATCCGAAAATGGCTTCTGTATCAAAACTCAGGTTTATTGTTGATGATATAAATATTATTAGAGACACACAAGGAGCTTACAGAAGCTAGCTTCAATGCCTAATAGACGGAGTTTGAAATGAAAGACTTGGGAAAAACCAAGTTTGTCTCGGCCTGCAGATCGAGTATTTCCAGAAGGAATTTTTTCTACACCAGTCGACCTACGTGAATAAGGTCATCTGGAAAAGGTTTTTATATGGACAAACTCATCCACTGTTAGGCACACCAAGGTGTCCGGTCCCTCGAAGCTGGATAAAGACCCATTTGAACACAAAGAAAGATAATGAAGAAATGTTGCGGGCCAGAAGTTCCCTATCTTGAGCGACATTGGAGCCACTTCTCTATCTCGCCAAATTGACACAGGCCTGATATACGCATTTTGCTGGTGAACTTGCTAGCAAGGTATAGTGCTATCTCCTACAGAGAGGCAGTTGGAATGGTGATTAAACATATCCTTCCGTTATCTTCAAGGAACAAAGATCTTGTGCTATTCTATAAAGAAACGCAAGAATATTGACATTGGGTGGGCGTCATTATCGGATGCTCGCTACATGCTCTGATCCCATAACGCCAGATCCACAGACTGGTTATGTTTTCTCTGTGTGGTACTACCATTTCTTGGAGGTTCTGGTCAAAGCAGACCATGGTGACTACTTCTTCTAACCACTCAGAGAGTTATCAGGCTTTATATCGAGACCACGAGAGAGTGTATGGTTAAGATCGTTGTATACGACACCATTCGTGGGCTTCGTGTGGCCTAGCAAGAAGACGATATTACCCACTGCTCCTTTATGAGGACAATGCAGCTTGTGTTGCACAAATGAGCAGTGGATATGGCATAAAAGGAACCATGACAAAACACTATCTGCCCAAAATTCTTTTATCCACATGGCTCCAAAAGAATGGCTTGAATCACATAAGAAAAAAGTTCGCTCAGTGAATATCTTGCCAGATTTGCTTCACCAAATCTCTTGCCTACATCAATTTTGAAAATATGTCACAATATTTGGTATCGCCAGCGCAGACTTAGAAGACTATCGTCTTCAGGGGGGGGAGCAAATTCTTAAAGAAAATCCTGCAGATTGGGGCCCTGAAGGTTATCGTCATATTTCTCAAAATGCGCAGACTGAAGATTGTCATCATCAGGCTTGGACGGAGCGAATTTTCAATGCAATCCCGAAGATTGCGCCTTGAAGGACTATAGTTGTACTCTTTTTCCCTTTACTAAGTTTTGTCTCATAGGGTTTTCTTAGCTAAAGGTTTTTAATGAGGCAACTAATACAACACAAGTTTGGATCCCGAAGATCTATAGTTGTACTCTTTTTTCCTTTACTAAGTTTTGTCTCATAAGGTTTTCTTAGTTAAAGGTTTTTAATGAGGCAACTAATGCAACAAGAATCTACTAATGTCGTGTACTCTTTTCCTCGACTAGTTTTTATCCCACTGGGTTTTTCTAGCGAGGTTTTTAATGAGGCATTGACATCTCGAAGTAATGTCCAAGGGGGAGTGTTGAAATCCAAAAGTCATTTTGAGGAAACCTAAAAGACAAAATGAATGTGGACATTACTTTATTAATGTGGAATATTTATTGGTGACTTTTCATTAGTCCAATGTCTTTTTATTTTCCACAATGTATCTATAAATTGGTGGATGTATGGAAAAAAGTGGAAAAAATGAAAATTACAATTTATCTTATTCTCTTGTCTCTTGTCCATCTTTCGTTTTATTTCTTTAGTATATTACAACATTTGCCTTTATTTTCGGATTTGAATCATCTTCACTATTAAAAAAATAGTGGAGTGACCACTATTTAATTACAATCATTGATGATGTAATATGTGGTTATGATTTTTCTTTGAGTGCAGATTAGGAATGAGTGTAATACATAATGGTATAATGAGTATTAGATTTAGCATATATAACAATTACCTACATGATAATCAAAGGTTGAAACTAAAAGTAATGGTCTCTCTACTACTTTTTGCATTATAGAGTATCCAAATTCTTTTTTTTTTCTTCCCTTGTATTATTATATTTATTGTTATCATCTCCTTTTTTTTGGGCAAATGCAGCGAAAGTATGAATGTGCTAAAAACGTTGAGCTTTCAAAACTTAATTTATTTTATGCAATGATGTTAGCTCCTGCTTTATTTCGAACAAATTATGGAACTGTATGTAACACTCATTCTTAATTTTTTATTCTAATAAGTGAATTATTATTTTCAAATCAATAAATAACAACGGTAAAGTATGAATTTACAATAGAGGGAATGAGCATGTATATCTATCTCTTGAGGACTTACGTATATTCAAAGACTACTCTTAACTTCCTCCTCACTATTGATCACTTCCAATAAATTTGTACACTTCTCCCTCAAAAGAATACATGCAACAAAATTGTCATAGAAGCTTCCATCTTTATCTATATGTTAAACAGAGAATTTAGATATATTTTAGGCTATCGTATTATTAATATATAGCACATCAAAAAGATATCAATCGTTAACTTTTTTATACACGAAAAGCATCCTCTTGATGCATCATTAATGTACAGATCAAAACTACTAGATACTTTCTGGTGTATTAATAAACATCCGCTACCGTCATCAACCTCTCCAACCCTAACAACCTAACAGGCGATGACCTCGGCCTCCTCTCTGTGATCGTCTCCAGCTTCGGCGACCATGGCGTCCTCTCTCTTGACCCAACCAGCTGCTCATAATGCTTCCTAAGCTCCGGCGTGGTACAAACAGGCGACGTTGAGCCAACATCATCACCATCCTCACTCCCTCCAGAAATGGCCCCGACAAGGAACTCCGGCAAAACCCTAATCAACAGCCTCCCATCAATTTTACTCCTCACATACTCAAATGGAAACTGCGATGGCTTGTTCTTTGAGGACGACAGCATAGCTACAGAAGCGGTGGTGAGTTTGGAAGTGGACGGGAAGCGATCAAGCGGGAGCACGAAGTAGGTTTCGCCTGCAACGAGCTTTTCATCGAGGGAGAGAATGGGGAGGGGGCGGCCGATGAAGAAGGAGCCAGCGTGGCAGATGATGCGGTCATGGTGGTCGAAGAGGATGTGTCCGGCGAGGTGGTCAGGGGGGAGTAGGCGGACGGTGCCACCGTAGAAGATGAGTTTGGCCATGGAGGAGGAGGAGGAGGGAGAAGAGGGGAGGAAGCAAGAAGATGCAATAATATTGCCCATCTTTTTTTAGGGTTTGGTGTTTCCTGTGGGGGTTTTATATATGGAGGTTGGAAATTAGGCCTTTGTGTTCTCTCTCTCCCTCTCTCTCTCTTGTGTGTGCGTGTGGACTTTGACAAGTCTTGGTTTTGTTTGAAAGAGGTGGGGTTGAGGGTGTTTTGCTTGTGAGTTTAGGGATGGATTTGGTCGGTGGTCAGAGTTGAGGGCTGGTTTGAGATTTAAGGGGGTGGTTTAACTATTTAATTTGTCAACCATTTTTTGAGAGGAAGGGTCAAAGCATGCGACTTCTCACGGAGTCACGGTCATAAAATATGGAGATTGTGATGTGCATGCGTGAAAGGAGTGGAATTCGAATTGGGGCAAATTTCACACAAACCCGAAATCTTTCTTATTACAAGTGTCACGTCACCACCTAAGGGCATTTCTCAAAACTCCAGTAAGTCTTGGACTTTGTTCAACAAACCCTCCAAATGGCGCAACCCGTCCGAAGGGTAAACTTCACTAGATCCTATCCTTTATATATAAAAAGAAATTGGTGGAACTTCTAAAAACACAAAAAATTAATATGTGTTAGATCATGAGGGCGCAAAAAAAGTGAAACGTGTCATACCATAAATACACATATGTTTCCCTGTCCTATTGCCCCGTTTGGCAAAGGGTTAATGAAGAGGGGTTAAAGAGAAGGATTAATGTACTTAGCCCGTTTGATAATCCGAAGGACTAAATTATTAACCCGTTAAATAAGTTTTATTTTAGCCCTTATGATCAGTTTTAGTGTTTGGGAATAACAATGATTTAGACTATTTTCTTTATAATTAGAAGGGTTAACTCTTATTCCATCTAAATAGGAGTATTAGCAAACCCCTCATTTTGAGGGGTTAACTCATTTTAACCCCTCTAGAGGGGTTAACTTAACCCTTCTATATTTTTTATGTTTGGCAAATTATGGAGGGTTAACTCACTTTAACCCTTATATAGATTTGTTGTGTTTGGCAGGTTAAGAAGGGGTTAAGTCTCCTTAACCCCTCACTTAACCCTTTGCCAAACGGTACCTTAGAGTATAAATGTAGATCTCTAATATTGTATTCACCTAATAATTATCATCAAATTAAAGTTATTCATAATTAGAAAAAGTCTAATAATCAAATATTTTGTAATCTTTATTAGATTATAACTATCTTTTATTAAAGAAAGATCTCATAATCATATATTTAAATATAGAAATTAAAGAAAAAAATCATATAAATAGCCTCTCTACATAAAACTATGGGTTAATTTTAAAAGACCCCGACACTATAGGGGTGTCTCAGAAAAACCCATCAACTATTTTGATTTGAGAAATTCATCCTCAATTTTGAGCATATTAATACATAACCCACCTCAACTATGAAAATATGGGATCACCTCCCTAAACTTTTCTCACTTGACCCCCTCAAATATGAGTTGTGCCTTAGAAAACTCCACTCACCTATTTTAACTTGAGAATCCCCTGAAGATTGAGGTTATAATAGATAACCCTCCCAAGTTTTAAAATTCAATGAACCTCTCATGAACTCTTCTCATTTTACACCCTGAAAACTAACACCGTTAGGTCTAGTACATCATTCAACAAGTATTGACTGAGAAAAGACCAAACTAGTCCTCAATTATAAAAAATTACCCTAATTTCTTTAAAATTAGAGAAAGAGAGGAGGAAAAGTTTATCTTGCTTGTATTTTTTACAAATTATGGATATGAATGATACATCTTGTTTAGGCTATGATTCTAGTATTGCTCCTAAATTCAATGCTTTCCCCTATGCTCAATGGTGTTTTAGATTCAAATTATTTGTTCAATCTAAAAATATCGATTTATGGAAAGTCATTGATAATGCTTATATTGTGCCCACATGGGAGAAATCTAAGTGGAGCAAACATGATAAAAAGATGTTTATTATGAACAAGCTTATGTTAGAATTTTTTGATTAATATTCTTTTTTATTGGTTGTAGGTTTCTTTGTAACTGAATGACTTGATTCTCAAAAGAATATTTTAATTATTTTACATTTTAAAATGTCGCTAGGGGTTTCTCATAGTTGATGGAGGATTTCTTTAATTTTCAAACTTGAGTATGCTTATCTATAATCTGCCCAAACTTCAGGGGTTTCTCAAATTAAAATAGTTGAGGGGTGTTTTATGAGACATACACCATAATTGAGGGTTTTTTTAAAAAAATAACACTTAAGTCATATATGTAAAGTTATACCTCGGTTAAATTATATTTAAAGTTGATAGACTAGTCTTCCTCTTAAAATATTATTGACGAATTGATGAACTCCTTGATTTGACATCCTATCTGTACTAGCTGTTATAAAGAGCGGCAATTAGTTTACCTATATCTTTCTTTAAAATTTAATAAAGCACAAAACACCAAAAAATATATAACATATAAATATCTATAAAATTAAAAACTTTTCTATTACAAAATATTCTCTGCAATCTACAAAAAGTAAACAAATTATTTACAAAAATTACCTGAAATATTATATCCAATTCTCTTTGTTATATTTGATTTTTTTTCTAATGATTAGATTGGAATTCTAATGGGTTCTTAAAATTATTCTAGGAATAAACACTTAAATTCTTAAGACTGTTTTATGGATATTTTAGAACCTTATATCTCATCTAATTGTAATATTTTATTTGATTACTTCATATTGCATAATATAACTTAATGTATTATTTAGCTCATGCAAAATCTCACATGAATGGAAATCGGGTGAGTGTTCTTTAGTTCTTTTAAACAAGTCATCTAATTTGAATTCAAATTTTAAAATAAAATTCAGCCGCACCCTTATTTTGTATTTTCTATATAAGCAAAGCTCCGGAACAAGGTACCTAGTTTTGAAGGAGCAGCAACTTAAAAGAAATAAAATTTTAGAAGCATGCACGGGCATAAAGAAAAAAGAAAATTATAGAGAACAAAGAAATAAGATATATATACAAATGAAAGAAACCAAACCCATCCTTGCCAGAACAGGCAAAACACTTGTGAGAGGTAAAAGAAAATAAGTGAACCGTTGCCCCAGTTCCGACACTCGTTTGAGGGGAGAAATGGAGAGAAAAGTCAAAACACGTGTGACAGGTAAACGAAAATAAGTGCCGCATTGACCCAGTTCGGATACTCGTTTGAGGGGAGAAATGCAGAGAAAAGTCAAGTTTTTGAGGTGAAAATTGTGGAAAATGTTTCCGTCCAAATCGGGATATTTATAATTGAGAGGAAAAGAATTGATCTAAAACAAGATTGCCTCACAAGAACAACCGTATGCTTTCAAGATCTTTGCAGGAGATTGCTCATTTGTTTGTTTGCATCTTCTTAGTTACAATAAAAATTTCAAATTAACTGCAACAATTAGACTTAACAGTTTATGGAGGTTTATTCTGATCCATATACAACAAAATTAGAACATAAAGCTTCTTTTTGAGTCCATAATATATATGGACAAATTCTTTCCTCAATTTGGATACTTGATAAAATAAAGAACAAGACGTCAATATTTGTTCTTCTCCAGTTTAAAAAAAAGGGCTCGATCAAATATAGAAAAAGGTGAAATTTGGATTTTGATTTAGTAAATAAGAAGTGTATGGCTTCTATTCAATCTCAGATACACTGACTTGATATTCTTTAGCATTTATGATGATAAAAATTTGTATGTTTGTATCTTTCTCACGAACGAAGTTATTGCCAAATTGAATCAAGCTTAGCTAGCCCTCAACTCTGACCAGCCATCAAAACAACATCTAAATTTGCAATAAATGTTAAGACATAAATTTTTTTTATCAATTTTTTATTTAATGCAAGAAATTCCAGTATTTGGTGCAGTCAAATTTACAATAGAAAATATTGTGGTTGGTTTATGCAAACAGAAATTTTAATTATCATTCTCAACTATTATGATGCTAAGTAAACTGTTGTTTGTGAAGTCTAATTTACATAGAGAATACATAATACTGGAATTCAGAACTGAACCCTACAGAATACACAACCTATTTTAAATGTTAGTCAATAGGGCATCCTACCCTATTTTAACTTCAATATGTAAATGTTAGTCAAATCTAATTTTAAATGTTAGTCAATAGGGCATCCTACCCTATTTTAACTTCAAAATGTAAATGTTAGTCAAATCTATTTTTTTATCAATTTTTTATTTAATGCAAAAAATTACAATATTCGGTGCAATCAAAATTTCAATAAAAGATGATTAAACTAAAGGGGAAAAGAGAGAGATGAAACAAGCGGTGACAGGAAGGCGCATGATAGCTCTATTGAAAATGGCGAAGAAAAATAAGATGTGCATAGGAGAAGGCTCATCGGTCGACTGATCGGGTCTGGTCAGTCGATCGATTCGACAGCAAGTGAATTACAGGAGTTTCGGGTTGGTCGACTGATCGAACATGATCAGTCGACCGACAACATGCATACTACAAGGTCCGAATTCATCACTCTGGTCGGTCGACTGATGGACCCTTATCAGTCGACAAATGCACATTGATCAGTCGACTGATGATGGATCATTAGTCGACCGATATTAGGTTCCTGGGCTGATTCGGTTTTCCACCCTGTTTTGGTTTGGGTTTTGATATAAAAGGAAACACGTTTTATTAGGGTTTTTATCAAAAAATAGAGATTGTTTTGAGCACTTTGAGAGGGAGATTATTATGAGGGAGTGAGAGATCATTGGTTAGGATTATTTTGAGAGTTTGTATGAGTTTTAACCCGTTGTTTTCTCCTTCATATATTAAAATCTCCTCATCCTCTCTCCGTGGACGTAGACAACTTGTCGAACCACGTAAATTCTCTGTGTTTGTGTGTGATTTTGACCGTTCTTTTGTGAATTGCGCTCGTTAGTTGTTCTCCTCTATTGTTCGATGACTTGGTTGGTTTGTGCGCATGCTTCCGCCGATGCGCAATAATTGGTATCAGAGCTC